AAAAAAAAAATATTTATAAAAACTAAATATGAAGGTTAAAAACGGATTATCATTAAAATAAATACTAATGGGATAAAATTGAGTTGAAAAAATACTAACAAGACATTTCCTATTTGATTTCGACCCAATTAGCCAAATTTCTCTTTTTTTATGGACACATATAAATGATTAAGTCATTTGTATCAATCGAAAAATGGTATACACTGATTGAATAAATAACACCACACACTCTCATTTTTTATAGTGGTCGTTGTGGTACCAATAATATAATTATAGTGTAAATAGATCATCATGGTAAATCTAATACTTTGGATTTATTTCTAAGATTGTTTGATGTGTTTTCAAGTACTTCAAAAGATAAGATTTTAAAAAATTAGATTTGCCCGTGGTGAATATAAAATCATCATTAATATAATGTACATGAGAATTAAAACAAACAAAAAAGTGTGGAGATGAATACTTGAGGAAAACTAATTGTATTCCACTACAATCAACGGTTAGATCTCAGTAACAGACGATTCAAGAAACTCTCGGAGGATGAGATTTGTCGCTAATGACCTAAGTATTCATGCTTTCTTTTAGATCCGTCCTCAGTCAGTTTTCCTCAGTATAGAGTTTCGTGATGGATTTTTCATGGAGACTCATTGTTCAAGTGCTGCTGCTCCCATCTGATGTTGAAATCTGTGGGGCTTTGTCCATTATAGATTTTGAGACACTCTAAAATTGGTTGATCGCGAATATTGCTCTTTGAGAATCTTAGATCCAAACCTTTTGGCTCTTGTACTTCGCCAACGCAATATTGTGTGCTGGGCTGTTGCACTTACTAGGCAATTGGAAGCTTTTTTGAAAAAATATGGTCTCTTGGACTATTCTTATTCTCTTCCAATCCAAGTGGCAATCAATCTACTGCCTTGGAACCGACGCGGTGAACATGGATACCTTATTGACATTTATCACGCAATACCAATTTTCGCTCATGTTGGAACAGTTCTAGAAGAAGAGCGCCCACTAACATTCTCCGTTGTCGACGTATCCCATCCTACTGATCTTCCACATGCACAAAGGTTCTTGTGTAGAGGGATGAAAGTTCATTTCTTGTCCACCTTTAAGAAGACTCGCGGTAGAGAAGTGATGTTTGAGCAACTATTGAGGCGATTGGTTAAACGGTCACCAATTACTGTTTGGATTCCCATGACAGCTTCTAACTCGTCTCTACAAGGAAAAGAAATCTACAATCCATCTAGTGAAGAGCTCGAAGGGAGTTAGGAGAATTATGGCGGTCACCTTTTGACCGTTATCGGAGTTGGGATTGATTAATGTGGCAATTCGTTCTTAGAGTGTCAAGACTCATACTACAGTGTTGGAATATGGGCCTTAAACATATTGTGGCCCAAACATTTTTTCTAACAAAAGCCCAAGTTTCTTTTGGTTTGGTTTGTGGTCGACGATTAGAAGAAACCGACAATGGAGAAAATGTAAATTCAAGAGGAAAAGGAAATATAGCACCATCTCATTGGCTATATAAAGATGACGTTCACAAACCCTAAAGATTATCCCAAGAAAAAACGATGTAGCAACAAAGAGTCAAGAAAGAGAGAAGAACAAAAAAAAAGTTCAGAGAGAAAGAGGCAGCCATAAGAGAAAAGAAACAGAGTTCGAGTCTTCGTGTTCCTAAGGTTGTGCTCTTGATATTGTAGTCTCCTTCTAGTTCTTCTTACAAACTTGTAACACAAAAAACGTCGTTAGTGCGTTGTGTTAACCCTATGATTGATAGTGAAGTTGTGGGAGACAGTTCCCACCCTAAAGGTACCGAAGGGGAACTAAGTGAAAAAGTTTCTTGTGTCTTTTAGTTTTGCTAAATTCATCTCAAAGTTACTAAGGTCAAAGCACTAAATTGGACTAAAAACCCTAACAGGCAAGAAATGGGGAGAGAATGATTTCGTTCGACTGGCCCTTGGAGTTGAGTTAATCAGCTTTTTTGTTGTTTTCTGATATCGAATGTCGTGAGATTTTTATTGTGACAGTTTATTTTCTTTTTATCAAATTCTAATGTTTTGATTTTAAGTGATATTATCCCTAC